TATAGTGCTAATAATGTTTTTCTTAAACAGAACATGGAGAATCCCTATACCTGAAAATAATGTGATCACCTTCTGCATCTGCAAGGAAAACCTGTGCACTTCTCAGCTCCAATTTATCATTTATAAACTAAGATATTTTTAAGTGTCTGCCATCAGCAGAGTCCCTATTAGCTGCACCATATTAATACATTCAACAGCACGCAGAGCAGAAGAGCAGTTCGACCTCTCCTTAAAGTAATGAACACTGGAGAAAATGTATTTTAATATTTAAACTGCAGGCCTCAGTTCTAAGATCATTTGGAGTACCTGATTCTTCAGTCTAGGAGATTATAGTGTAGATCACATATGCATTCCTTTAAAGCTCAAGCAGCTTAATGTATGTGTAGCTCCTCTTGGGAATGCCATCTCTGTATGGCATCAACATAGCAAAGAAGACTCGCAGTTATCACCAACTCGACCTCCCATCCAATCCATAGTTTCACTGATATGGGGAAAAAAAGGTTGGGATGCCACTTAATTTGCATCGGATTTCTCCTCAAAGCCTTCTGCTTCTTTTTAATGAAGATATAAGGACCTCCTGGTAACAAGCCGAGGGCTTAGTGAATATAAATGAGCAAATTAATCCCTTTGTTTATCAAGGTTCTGGCAGGGCAAAGTATATATATATTTTTTTTTGTTTCCACTTACAGCAGCTGGCAGAAATATTTAGTCACACTTTTAAATAGTTTATTATGTTCCTTTTGTGCAGTAAAATTGGTTTGGATTTGAATTTTAAATTATTTCCTAATATATTTATTCTTCAAGTAATGTGCACCACAATTATAAATTGTGGGAACAATTATTTTCTCTATCCATTGCAGTACAGGCCTACATTTTGTTGAGCCACTTCAGCTGATATTTTCAGAGCTCCTTCAATCTTCTCTCATCCATATTTTGTGACTCTGAAACCAGGAAGGGATAGATAGCCTGTCATGGTTTGTCAGTCATGTGTTTCAATTCAACCTTGTGTTTTGACACTAAGCTGTCATTTTCAATTGAAGTCTACTTGTCTACTTCAGACAGTATGTTTTCCATGAAGATTGAGTTCAACATCTGAACCGAAAACATTCACTTTAGCCTTATCAGTAAATAAATACATTCATCATATAGAATTATAACAAAGTTATGATGGAAATGTGGGAGAGAGGTTAGATTCTAATCTCACACATTTCCACTCGCCTATGTATAAAAGTCTCACACCTGGGACTTTCTGTACCTCATCTCTCTCATACAAGCACTGTGCATCTCGTGTAGTTACAGAAAGGCATGTCTCACGTTCAGCATTGCAGGGAACTTCATTGTGTTCATTCGGGACCACTCAATACACAGAGGCTGTGGACCCACCATACCATTGATATAGTATTTTTCTTTCAGGTCTCCTGATGTCAACGAGTCCTCCAAATTCTCCAGCCCTCCCTCTTCCCTCTGTCTTCCTACTCTCTCCCGCTATACCCTCCATGAGTGCAAGCGCAAGGAGGCAGTCCACACCGGACCCAGGCTTCCCCGTTCATGTGCATGGTGTCCCTAGCCAGGCTCAGGAAGCAACTACAATGGATTCCACACCTCCCGCCAAGCTGGGCAAGTCACCATGACGACCGATACAAACACAATGATGACTTTGGCATAACTTGCCCATACGGCATAGCTGGAAACCCAAAAACCAAGAAAATAACAACCTGCTCGCTTGTACGCAAATGGCTCCTATTCCACTTCCACGTCTCCACCGTCCACACAGGTAGCTCCAAGGAACTCCTTCTGGGTCAGTACACCCATCAGGAATTTTTGTTTTCCTCTCCGCCATGCCCGCACGGTCTCCTATCACACCGCATACCGCCCTATACTTTCCGTTGCAATTCAGAGTCCGCAGGAGACCGAGTCTCCTAGCAGTTGCTTCCCCACATTCTCCAAGCTACCTGGTCTTGCTGCTACTGCTAGCCGCCGCCCTTTTGCAGACTCGTGTTCTGGCACCTGCAGCATACATGCTTCTCAAGCATTGCGTCCGAACCCTCTTGCACATACAAGTGCAAATCTGTGTCATACTTGTTCAGTCATTTGTTACACACGCAAACTTTGGTTAAAAAATTGAGGCTCCTTTGGGAGGCTTCTGCATGTTGTCTTCTTCTCCATGTGGGTTTTCTCTGGGTGCTCCAGTTTCCTCCCACAGTCCGTAGATATGCTATCGAGGTTATGTGGCATCTCTATATACTGCAGCTGTCTGTGTATTTGCCTTGTGATGAATCAGTGTTATGCCTAGTATGTAGTCTTGCCTTGTGCCTTGTATTTGGCTAGTGAATGGGCTCAAGCTCACAATCATCTAGGCATGAAGCTGTTACTGAAAATGGAGAGTGTAGGCTTGCTTTTTGTTCTAATTACAAGCAATCCATTAAATCCTTTCTTGTGTTTTCCATTTTATTTGCTCAGTATTTAGTCTATCATATTGCCTTGAATATGTATGTACTTCACCTCCCTGATAATCAGGCCATCAACTCTCTCATCTGCATTCATTGGTCTGCTAAGTATCATTTTTGTTAAATGTCATTTGTCCAGAGTGACACATTCATGCAGTGATTAGCTTTTTTGTCTTGCAGATCTGAAGCCCTGGGTTCAATTCCTGGGGTGCTTTCTGTGTGGACTTTGTATGTTCTCCATATTCCCATGGGTTTCCTCCATATAGTCCAGTTTCCTACCACACTCCAAAACATTATTGGTAAATTAATTGGTTTCTGGAAAAATTGCAACTAGTGTGTATGTTTGTGTTTTCTGTGTGTGCCTGTTCGTCTTCAGGGTGTATCCCTCCTTGCACCCATTGCTTGCTGGGATAGGCTCCAACTTCCCCATGACCATGTATTGGATAAAGCAGTTAGAAAATGGATAGATGGATCAATTGTCTATTTTTAAATGTGAAAGTCTATTATGGAAAATGTAATGATGGATTTTATTCATACACCAACTTTCATGAGAGCGAAAGGTATAATGCTCAACTTATATTGATTTCTTAACTCTTAAAGGCATCTTTACAATCTCACCATGTCTCAACTTTTAAAGGTGTTTTTAAATTCTTGGCAAGTCCCATGCAATATTATAGTCACCCTGATTTTATATTGGCATGATAAGGTACAGGGAGATCAGAAACAGCCCACTGGAGAACATTATGCTGTCACAGAAGTTCACATCATTCAGATACATGTTATACAGTATATATAAGTACTCAGTGCAATGTGAGCAGATGCTTCAATACAACCCTTTCTGGAAGAAGACCCTACTATAACATATGGTAGGGGTGAGGGTCAGACAGATAAAATGTTTCAGAGCGCCAACAATGGTTAACAACACATGAATAAAATTCTAACACATCGTAACAGTGTTGCAAATAATGTTGGAAAACAGCTTTGAGCTACGGGCAGGAAATCTGTTTCTCAGCCCCACCCACACCCTTCCAGTTCATTAGTGTCTTTGTGTGTGGAAAATGGTGGTTTTGTGTTATCTCTTTGCAATCTGTGGTCCTCTCTTTGCCAGGTTTCTAATGACTTTCCAATGATGATTTAGGAGTGTTTTGTTGTCCGGTGTTTCTTGAGAATGTGGCTCGAATTTCTTTTCAGCCTTTGCCTCGCCGACTGCTTTTGTGCGATGCCTGCCTCAGTGCTCCCACAGCTCAGAGACTCTGTCTCGCCATTCTTAAGAGGTCAAGAGGTCAAACTGGCATAAGAAATGTTCACCAAACCTAATACATTTACACCCAACTAAGATTCATGGCAATTTGTAACCGTGGTGGTGGCCTACCACACCATTCTCCTGCAGCCAACCATGACCGTTATTCTTCAACAGAGAAACAGGAATCAAAAAGTTATTGCAGCACTTTAAAACACAAACATCCAGGTAAAAGCCTGTGTGTATGCACAATGGCAGATTCCAACTTTCAGCTGAATTTTGTATATAGTATGGAAGGGGTTGTTCTGGTAGAAGTGTGTGTTTTGGAGGTTCTTAAAGGAATACTTCTGAGAGTACATAACCTCTGTGGAGAGCGCTTTATACAATTATGTCTTAATTTAATCTGACATTTTTCTTCTTCCATTTTCAGAGATAAATATAGAAGAACAGTGCATGTGTCAAGAAACAAGAAGAATCGATTCCAAAGAACATTTGTCACTTAAAAGTAGATTTCCTTGGTTTCTGTGTCTTAGTAATGTCTGCAAAACTAATTTAAGCATCCGAACTGTGTGAGGTTGCTTTTCATACTCGAATGGCACCTTTGCTATTTCTGTTAAGCCACCATTGTTTCTGATCCCCACAATTTCAGTCCCTAGAAAACAAAAGGCTTAGAGGCATCTAGCTCTAAATTAGTAAATAGTTTCCTGATACTTGATAAAGTTAATTTGAGTTTAAATCCATTGTGATAGCCGTGACCCTCACCAGGACAAGCAGATTTGAAAATGGATGGATGGCTCTATTGTAATAGCAATGGAGTTTTATGCAACTGAGAATGCGGTGATCCATTCTATTTTCAATACTGATGATGCGCCTGCAGTGCTGCTCAGTGCAGTTATATATAATCCAGTCAATTTTTTATGACCATAGGTTCTGAGTAAGATGTCAAATAAATTTTACGCCTGGCTGACATTGATGGGAATGTAATGTTTTTTTGCATTTGTTCTGTTTTTTCATATGCCCACCAGGGAAATGAATATACATGCAAGGTGTGTTTGGTTAGACATGAAAAATTAAATAGATATTTGTACCACTTTTCTTCATAAAAGCTCTTGAACTGTGTTTTTGTGCTCAATTGGGCCTGTTTTCTCCTGTTTGGAAAGCCCAGCACTTAGTCTTCAGTCTTAAATGCATCTCTGTACTTACTGTCATGTCTTTCGGTTGATTTATTCTCTCTTAGGAATTTTTCATAGCTCATGTTTGTGTTTTCCATACAAGTTATATACAGCACCTTGTTTCAGAGTGAAGGATATTCTGCTTCAAAGAACATACTTCATCTTTGGCAGAATATGAAGAATGTCAGTATGTTCAGCACATACATTGATGATAGTTCTTCTTAGTGAGATCATAAAAAGTAAAAGTAAAAATGTGCTGTTTAAAAATAATCAAAAAAGCAGTCCAATATCATAAATGTCTTTACTGGTGATACAGGAAAATGTTTTGTGAATGATTTCCTATTGTTTAATACCATATTGATGTAGCCCAATTATTTTCTGTGACAGTATAAAGAAAAAATATTATTTTAAAATAAATTAAACATTTAAGACAAAGTTATAGAGCAGCATGATGACACAGTGGTTATCACGGCTGTCTCACAGCACCAGGGCCCTGGGTTCAATTATGGACCTGGGCTGCTATCTGTGTGGAGTTTATATGCTCTCCCTGTGTTCACATGGGTTTCCTCCAGGTCCTCCAGTTTCCACTCACAGTCCAAAGACATAATCATAGGTCAATCGGCTTACTCCTGGTTGAGTGTGTGAACATCTGTGACTGTGTCTGTGTCTGTGTGTGCCCTGCAATGGACCAGTTTGAATCCATTGCTTGCTGGGATAGACTCTGGCACCTCCATGACCCTGTACTGGATTCATTCATTAGAAAATGGATGGATAAAACACATAGAAAATTAAGAAAACAAATACTGTATCTAAGATCCTGTATCTAACTCCCTCCTATGAGTACCTCAGATAAATACTACAATCTCTTGGTCAGTTTATCATGTCATTAAGAACTATAGTAAAGTCCAAATTCTATACGACTTTATCAGATTTCTTATTATAAATCTCATGACTTGTTATTTTTGTTATTTTATTTTTAGCTGTGAAAAAAATGTAACAGTAGGCACCCTTCAACTTTTTTAGAAGGATTACATTTCAGCAAAAATAATCTTGATACAAAAGAACCTTGCATTGTTCCCATAGAACTCGCAACATATTTAGGCTATCTGTTTGTTGCAGATGGATTTGCAGTAAGGAAATGTAAGAGTTTCTTTGGTTTTTTGATGTAAAGCAGTAATATCTGCTTTTTCCAGAAAACTGTTTTCCTATCCAATCAAAATCCCAGAATTGTTTTGCATTTTTTGCAGAAGTACTCAATAGCATGGTTGTTTTAGTAGTTCTAAGAGAATTTATAAAACTGAGCTTTAGGTAAAGAAATTGTCTTATGTAGTTCAAAGGATTTAGAACAAGAAAAAAAAGGATTGATGTTTGCGCGGAAAACTCTAGACTCCACTGCCCTGCAGTCCAATCAGACACCCATAACCCCCCTGACTCACAACAGCCTTGGGATTTTCTCTGCCTATTCAATGCTGATGGATGAGCCATTCTTTGAATTTCATTCTTGTGCTTTCTTTTTCTGAAAAGCCCATTCATTCAAGGAAAATGTGTAGAGAAAAGTTCTCTGCTTAAGCTTTTAGGTGCTGAAGTGTCACTCAAGAGCACTCTAGTCCTCTTCTCTTTCTTCCCAATAAATTGTACACTCTTTGTTTTTAACCTCGCCCCTTCACGTGCCTTGACTGCTACTGAATAAAGAACATTAACTTGGTTTTCCTGTTTTTTCCTCATAAGGAAAACTGCATCACAGACACAGTCGTACAGTTTGCCTACTTTTCTGTAGAGTTTTGGTTAACATTGGTTATCTACCCTTAAAAACAAACAAAAAAAGAATGACTCTAGTTAAAACCCAAATCAAAGTTGTACTCCTTTCTGAAACTGGATAATTTTTCATGTGTTTTAATTAGCAGGTGGTAAAAGCCAGCACAACAGAGAATAAATAATCCAATTCTGATTTTTTTAGAACAGTAACAATCATATAGCATTATAACGTCACACGTTTTTTTTTTAAATTTTTTCTCTTTAAAAACACATTTGGAAAGGGTGCGAAAAAAAACAAAATTTGTAATCACCTTTCTTAATAATGATAAAAATTGAATTAAAAGTCTACATTTGTCTACAATTGGTATTTCCATCCATTTCATGGTAATTAAACTCTCATTTAGTCACATAAGTAGAAAGTCAAATGGTTCTCCGTATAAAATAAGGGTTCTAAACTGGCTGGAATTCAACAGTTTTCTATGTGTTTTAAATTGTAAGCATTTTGATACATGGGCACATTTACTATATTCCTCATACTCAATTGTAGTTGAGCAAATGTGACCTGCATATTAATGCAACACACTCTTCATACAGTGCCAAGGGATGATTGCAATTTACAATCCCTGAAAGCTGTGTAAGTCAACATGTCTGGACAGGTCAAGACGTCCGGAGCACAACTAAGGTAAAATGATGGTACATGTTAAATGAGTGTTTCCTGTTGTTTGGATAGGGTTGAATGAACCCTACAGAGTACAGTTATGTTCTGAATTTATCTTAGATTGGTAATAAGACACATTTTTGCATTTTCACATTTCATTAGATTGCTGTGAGCCATACACATTTCTGGCACCAATACAGACCCTGGCCAAAAGATTTCAGAAACTATTGCATCTTCTTTCCAAACTAAGGACATGACTTAGTAAGACAGAGGACATGATTTAAGGACTATCTGCTTTTCTGATATGAAATTCAATTGGACTATATTTCTCTAACCCTGCTTCATTGCAAAACATTCCATAGTACCTATCCAGCATTTCATTTCAAGGAGAAAATAGTGCCAACTTCCATTGTGGAGCTACAGGATTCTTTCATTTCTCTAGTGGCAAAGTTAACTCATTTTGTAGTGTCAAGCTTCAATAAACTGAGACATCTAGCCATGCTAAAGCTGGTAATCAAATCCAGCAGGGCTTCTGTCACTGCTGGCCAAAGAATCCAAGTTAGCAAATCAAACCTGAAGGCTTCCCAGCCTGGGATGCACCAGGAGGGCATAAAGGACGGATTAAAAAAAATAATATCTTACAAGTCTGAAAGGGTGTCTTACTCAGAGGTTAAGAACCACAGAAAGTATTCTTGATGCATGACCAAGCTTCATATAAACTATCAAGCACAGCAAGTCTCAATTTAATTTAATGATTTTGACCATTATCCTCAGACACTTAGTCCTATGGATGGTCAGAACTAACCCAGCAGACGCCAGGTGTAAGTACTACAGCCTTGAGGAGGCACCCACCCATCACGGGACACACAGAAGCACACAGGGACAATTTAGAAGAACCAATTAACCTAGCTGTCTTTATAAGGTTGTGGGAAACTGAAGCACATGAAAAAAAATCAAGAGTCCATAAAGAAGGTGCCCCAGACCTGAATAAAAATCAGGATCCAAGTATGCCCAGATCCTGTTATCCCTCCATCTATTTTCTAACCAATGGATGGTTAGAGATTCAGGGTCATGAGGGAGCCATAGCCTATCCCAGCAAGCAACTGACAGGAGGCAGGATACAACCTGGACGGGATGCTAGTCAATTGTAACCTAATAGTATATCTTCAGACTGTAGAAGGAAACTGGAGCACCTGGAGAAATAACCCGTGAAAACAAGCTCCACACGGATAGCACCCCGTGACTTAGAAATGTATCATCTCAAGCGGGACATTTGAATTGAGCAAAATGAGAAGACCGATCATATATTGCAAGAGAGACAGAGTTATGCTTTTCCACCCTACATGTTAGAAATTGCGGGATTGTAACAAAACATGATAAAAACGACATTTAAAACGTATATCCTGATAGACTACACTACACGTTCAAATGTGTGCAACAAATATTTTATTTAATACAGATGCAACCTTTTACAGTTGCAAATTTGATAGGGCATGCTTCATATAAGAAATGGGGGGGGGTTTGAATAGCATAACAAATTTTTAAGTAAATGGCATTGCGTCTCCAAAATATCGAGTGTTCTTGCCGTGTGTGCAAATCTGAAAAATAAATAATGGTCACACATTTGATGAACAGATTGTACTTTTGTGGTTGTGTGCACGTAGGTGGCAAATTTACTCCGCATGAGGTACTACCAGGATGCCATTCAAGATTAATTTACATAATCTTCTGTCTCTTTGTAAAAAGCACACCACCCTTTTAACAATCCACTCTTCTTTCACTCGCGTGCCTTGGATGCCATGATTGCATTTAGCAGGAGAATGCAAGTAATTATCACATGTTTAACCCCTACAGCGAAGACCCCAAAATGATGAAAGTGTTTATTCGTCCCATCTGTTACATTTCAGAGAAACGATAGCTGTATCTTGGAAAAATACAGTAACCTATTTTAAACAAGGGGCTTTAAATGAAACTCGTTCTCGCGTTTTTGAACGACAAAACTGTTGTTTTCTCTAAATCTAAGTATAGCACTTCTTTAAATTTTAGTTTTCTACAGCTCTATATCGGCACGATTGTCGATTAAATCAACAAGGCTTCATTTCAGATTTGACAGGACAAACGCGTAATGCGAATTATACCCCGAACAAGATATAGTCTGTCCCCATTGTTCGGTTATTATAGAATCCTTAAACTATTTGTTTCCCTACTTATATAACCAGTCACTGAAGACCTTAGTTGAACCTCTCAGTTTTTCTGGGGCAAAAGGCTGGAGGGGAAAAATAACCAGCTTTGTACTGCAGAATGAGTTTGAGTGTTATATATATATATTATGTAGTATATTAAAGCGTCCTTAGCTGCATCACCAAAAATCCACCTTCTGTGAGTCAGGCAGTCTTTAGTTTTAAAGCCATTGTTATTGTTAGCCTATATGTTTTCTAAAAAGTTAAAATCCCTACATTTTAGGTACCCAGTTGAAGTCCTCGGTGGAAATGTTACTAATAACTCTTTATAGATACACTGACCTACCAAAACTGATCGGATTTTATATTTTGTATTGCAGATGTTCTGCCGTCACCAGTGACAGCGCCGTGTTTAAACTGTGTGGATGAGTACAATTAGCGAGATTATAATCTGAAACCTGAAGCTAAAATCTCCTTGAACATTCTTGGAAGATGAAGAGAGAATCAGCCTAATGAGTGGTTTGTTGGATGCACACAGTACTCGAATCATTTTTATCTCGTTAGAACGCCTGTTAATGGGCTAAATCATATTAATATGCAAATTGGGGCAGACTAATCCCGTTTTTATGAAAACTACCAGATATACTGTATTCACACTTTCTCACGTTGCGCTGTCAGCAATACTCTAAATTATTTTAAAAATAAAGAACGGGGAGAAAGGGGGGAGCAGATTTTCCTTTTGTGGCAGATGGTTTCAGATCTCCAGGTT